TCTCTGGCCGTGGTTGTCGTTCTTCGTGGTTGTCGTTCTTTGGGCGTAGGTGTCGTCTTTGGCGTGGCTTGGTCGTTCTTTGCGTGGTTGGTCGTTCTTTGATGTGATTGTGTCGTTCTTAGGCGTGGGTTTTGATCGTTTTTGGCGTGGTTGGTCGTATCGGTTGGCGTGTTGGTCAATCTTGGCGTGTTGGTCGTTCTCTGCCGTGGTTGGTCGTTCTTTCCGTGATTGGCGTTCTCTGCCGTGGGTTTGTCCGGTCCTTGGCGTGGTTGGTCGCTTCTTAGGCGTGATTGGTCGTTCGAGGCGCTGGTTGTTTTGTCGTTTCTTTGGCGCGGTTGGTCGTTCTTTGGCGTGTTGTCCGTCTTGGCGTGGTTGTCGTCTTTGGCGCTGGTTGGTCGTTCTTAGGCGTGGTTGGTCGTTCTTACGGCGTGGTTGGTGTCTTGGGTGGTGGTCGTTCCTTTGGCGATAGGTTCGGGTCGTCTCTTTGGCGTGGTTGGTCGTTCGTTGGCGTGGTTGGTCGTTCTTGGCGTGGTTGGTCGTCTCTTTGGCGTGGTTGGTCCGTTCTTTGGCAGTTTGTCGTCCTTTGGCGTAGTTGGTCGTTCTTTGGCGCGATTGGTCGTTCTTTGGCGGGCTGGTTCGTACTTTGGCGAGGTTGGTCTTTCTTTGACGTGGTTGGTCGTTCTTTCGGCGCAGGTTGGTCGCTCTTTTGGCGTGGTTGTCGTTCTTGCATGGTTGGTGCGTTTGTAAGGCGCGGTGTTTGTCGTTAATGGCGTGGTTGGTCGTTCTTTGACGTGGTTGGTCGTTCTTTGGCGTGGTTGGTCGTTCTTTGACGTGGTTGGTCGTTCTTTGGCGCGATTGGTGCGTCTTCTTAACGGTGTTTGTCATTCTTGAGCGTGGTTGGTCGTTCTTTGGCGTGGTTGGTCGTTCTTTGGCGCGGTTGGTCGTTCTTTAACGTGGTTGGTCGTTCTTTAGCGTGGTTGGTCGTTCTTTGACGTGGTTGGTCGTCTTGGGCGTGGTTGGTCGGTTCTTAGGCGTGGTTGGTCGTCGCTTGTGCGTGGTTGGGTCGTTCTTTGGCGTGGTTGTCGTTCTTTTGGCGTGGTTGGTCGTACTTTGGCGAGGTTGGTCGTTTCTTAACTGTGGTTGGTCGTTTTTGGCGCGGTTAGTCTTCTTTACGTGGTTGTCATTCTTTAGCGTGGTTGGGTCGTTCTTTGGCGTGGTTGGTCGTTCTTTGGCGCGGTTGGTCGTTCTTTGACGTGGTTGGTCGTTCTTTGGCGTGGTTGGTCGTTCTCTGCCGTGATTGGTCGTTCTTCGCGTGTTGTCGTTTTTTGACGTGGTACGTCGTTTCTTTGGCGTTGGTTGTCTTTCTTTGGCGTCTTTGGTTCTTGGTTGTCGTTTTCTTTGGCGTGGTCGTTCTTTGGCGTGGTTGTCTTTTTTTTAGCATGTATGGTCGTTCTTCGACGTGTTGGTCGTTCTTGCGTGGTTGGTCGTGGCGTCCGTTCTTTGGCGTGGTTGTCGTTCTTGGCGTGGTGGTCGTTCTTGCGTTCTCTGCCGTGGTGGTCTTTTTTTTAGCATGGTTGTCGTTCTTCGTTGCGTGATTTGTTGGTCGTTCTTTGGCCGTAGTCGTTCTTTGGCGTGGTTAGTCGTTCTTTGGCGTTGTTGGTCGTTCTTTGGGCGTTTTGGGCGTTGTCGTTTCTTTGCGCGTGTGGTCTTCTTTTTGGCGCTGGTTGGCGTTCATTGCGCGGTTGTCGTTCTTTTGGCGTGGGTGGTCGTTCATTGGCGTGGTTTGGCCGTTGCGTTGGCGTTCGTTTGCGTAGGAAGGAAAGCGTTGTTTGGCTTTTGGTCTCGTCGAGAGGGAAGACAGCATAATGTCCGTAGGAAATAAAAGGTGTACACAAAACATGCATACGCGCTGTCTCTCGTTTTTTTTTTTTTTTATTATTATTTCTTTTTTAGAGATATCTTTTTCTCTGTTTCTTTTTTCTCTTTCTCCTCTCTCTCTCTCTCTCATGCAATGAGACATGTACACACACACGCACACACACACACACACACACACACATATATATGTATGTGTGTGTGTGTGTGTGTGTGTGTATACACATATATACTGTACATACATTCATGGTAAGTCGTCTTCAGTGGCCTCTATCTACTTATATTTACTACCTGTTTCCCTTCCCCAAGAATCTGTTATTAAACGGCTTTTCCGCCCCCCCCCCTGTCTCCCTCTCCCTCTATCCCCCTCACCTGCCTTCCCCCTCACCTCCTATGAATTTTCTCGTCCACTTACGTTCCTATCGCTGTTTCCTCTTATTCCCTCATTCTCTGATCTTTATCCTTTCTCGTTCTCCCCAAACATCCGTTCCGAGCTGTCTTATCTCTTATCTATTTCGCTTCTTTGAGATATCCTGATTGGCTAAGTTTCTGATCCATGTTTCATTTCGAGACTTGATACCACTTTATAGTCTCTTACTCTCGCACTTATCCTCCAGTCTCATAA